AATTCATAAATTAATGTTTTTATTGTTATTCAAATCGTTTCATTACTGGCCAAAGAAGTCTCTTTTTTTGTGCTCCGAACCCTTTCGCTGTGACCCTTGTCATAATCTTTGATGACTTCCTTGCTATATGCTATAAAAAGAAATGTAAGGGTTATCTGTATAATTCCTGAGGCAGGCCTGTATCAACTAGCCAAGGAATCATGCTTGCTTTTAGTGAGAATTGGTATCTCAAGGCCATAATTTGGAAACTAGGATTACATACTGCAACTAGGTCAGACATTGTATCTAGGTCTTTTCAGTGGAATGAGTTAGCAGGTAGTTGTTTTTTTGTAAGGTAAAATATACTAAGAGTTTATAATGAAACTTCCAATTAAAAATCAAGTTAATCAAGAGACTGAGAAGACAAACCACAGAAAAGAAATATTTGAAAAAGACCTATATAATATAGAACTGTTATCCACAATATACAAAGAACTCTTAAAACTCAACAATAAGAAAATGAACAACCCAATAAAAGAATGGACAAAAGACCTGAATAAGGCACCTCACCAAAAAAGACACAAAGATGGCAAATAAGCATATGAAAAGATGTTCAACATTTTATGCCATTAGAGAATCACAAATTAAACAATGAGATACTACTACACATCTATTATATTAGCTAAAAACTAAAACACTAAACACACTAAATGCTGAAATGCCAGTAAGGATGTGGAGCAATATGAATGCTCCTTCTTGTCTGGTAGGAATGCAAGATGGCAGAGCCACTTTAGAAGATGGCTTGGTGGTTTCTTATAAAACTAAACATAGTCTTATAATCCAGCTAATTGCATTCCCGGATATTTACCCAAAGGAATTGGAAACTTATCCACACAAAAATCTGCACAATGATCTTTATAGCAGCTTTATTCACAACTGCCAAAACTTGTGAGGGGGGCAGGGTGGAGGTGCTCTGACATGGTCTGTAGCTGTCCACTGGGTACATGGGCCCTGGGGTTTCCCGGGTGGTGCCAGCCAAGGTCAGTCCCTACCTGTGTTCTGCCCAGGGCCACCAGCCTGAGCTATAAAGCAATTTGAGATGGCTGCTACTTGTGCTGGGCTTGGAGATGTCCAGGTGAAGCCAGGCTGTGAATCTAGGCTGGCTGCTGCTACTGCCTTGCCTGGGACCACTTAGCAAGAGGTATTGGGTGCGGAGTGGGGGGATGGTGGCTGGCCATGGGCTCACTGAGGCTGTTGCTTGTTTGAAAGCAGCTTGGGTGAGACCGAGTCTGTGGGGATCTCCAGGGTGGGGCAAACAGTATTAGCCAGGTTGATGAAGTTTCAGATACGGCACATACCTGCTAGCTTGTGGCTCTGTTGGGGGAGGGTTCTGTAAAGGGACAATGGCCTCTGCTCACCTTTCTCTCTGGGAGAAAGCTGTTCCCTAGCCCTTGCCTTGATGCCAGACACTTCAGTTCCTCCCTGTATGCCATCAGTGCCTTTCAAGCTGCTACCCCAGAGGGAGCCAGTCTGAGTCAGTGTGTGTGTGGGTTCTTTAAGAACTGCTTGGGACTCCAGAAGTTTCTTTTACTAACCCAATCCCCACTGGTTTTTGTGGCCAGGAGTTATGCAAACTTGTTTTCCTGGTACTGGAATCCTGGGCTTGGAGGTCTGCTGTTGGGCTGGGACTCCTTGATCCTCCTGTGTTTTTACCCACCAGGAGTGGATGTGAGACAAGCCCATTCCATATCTCTGTCCCTCTTACAGTCTGCATGGATGTGGTTTCTTTAATTCCGTAGTTGTCAGACTTTCAATCAGCTCTCAACTTCTGATGGTTCTGTGTGATGGCTGGTCTATAACTTAGTTGTAATTTTGATGTGGCTGTGTGAGGAAGTGAGCCATGTTTACCTATGCTGCCAACTGGACCGGAAGTCCTCAGATCCCCTCTTTTCTTCCCCTCAATTTATTGTAAAAATAAACTTGGTTATCTGTCCTACAGGATCTCACCTTCTGGATTTTGCTAATTGGGTCCCCAAAGTGTGTTTAACATGTTCCTCTGTCTTGTATTTCATGTAAACTGGTAGTTTTATCTAAAAGCTTGATATAGTTCAATTCCTTTTGTTTGGAAAAATACTTCACAGGAGGTGATATTTACTTCCATTTGGAGGCACATAATAAGCCGCTGTCTCATCTTACTATGATGTTAACAGGTATTGAAGATTAATGCCTAGGTTATTGTATGTTACAAAATGATGATATCCTAATTCTGTCATTTGTCTTCATTAATTAGCTAGAGAAACTTCCTCATATCAACTATGTGGTTTATCTTGGGCACACTTCATTCAGAAAAGTGGGTTAAATGCTTGATTCTTTCCCTTTCCAGTTTTCAAACATAAGTTGGTTTCCTAGCACCATTCATAGGAGACTAATTAGTTCTTTTTTAGTATCATTACAAACTCGTGGATTATTAACATATTTTATAGATATGACCCATTGCAATGATTATTTTTATTGATGCTTCATGTTGTCTCAGTCTTAACTAGTGGGAGGAGCCTCTTCATCAGGCCTCTTCTAAAGACTTTTTATAGCATCCTTGCTTTTTGACATGACAAGATGTCTAGTGTCATCTTGTACATTTTCTGTCCCAGTCCTGAATCAGCCATTTTTTTTGAGGCATTTTGGTTCCTTCAGTGGGAAAGGCTATATTTGAATTTTGGGTGTTTGGCTCTATGTGAATTTTGGGTGCTCGGTTGTGTTATAGAGTCTGGTAAATAGATGCTTATCAAAAACTACGTAGAGTTTAGAAAAGGTCGCTTTCACTTTGAGTTCATATGAATAGAAATACTATTCTTTTTATTTTATAAATAACTTTTAAAAATAATTCTCACCCAAAGATACATCCTTTTTTTTTTTTTATTTTAGAGAGGAAGGGGTGAAGAGAGGGAGGGTGGGAGAGAGATGGGGAAGTGAGAGAAACTGAGAGAAAGAGAGAGGTGAGAGAAAAACATTGATCAGTTGCCTCCCGTACGTGCCCCAACCAGGGATCAAACCCGAAACCTAGGTATGTGCCCTGACTGAAAATAGAACCTGCAGTCTTTTGGTGCGCAACTAAATGAGCATCTGGCCAGGGCTATTCTTTTTCTTAATATAGAAATATGGAGTGTTTTTGTTCATTTGTTTGCAGAGAAATGGGAAAATTAAGGCTTTAAATAGAAAAAAATAAATAAAGTTTTAACTTCTCTTTTAAATTTTGTGTCCTCTATCTGCTATACTTTATTCATTATGTCTAGTGAAGAGAAGGGCTAATAGCTTTTCATATTTCTGGCTACATAAAAATTAGGTGGTGTTTAAAGATTATTATTACAGCATTTGGTTGATATATTTCTTAGGTTTTTTTATCTCTAGATTCCCCCTCCCACGCTACTAAGACAGGGTGTCGTGGCAGCTCTACCTAATATATAGAAAGAGACACAAGAAGGCTGCCAAAATGAGACAAAGAAATATGGCCCAAATAAAAGAACAGATCAGAAGTCCAGAAAAAAGAACTTAAAAAATTGAAGACAAGCAATTTATCAGATGCAGAGTTCAAAATGCTGCTCATAAGGATGCTCAAGGAACTTAGTGAGGACCTCAATGGCATAAAAAGAATCCAGTCAGAAATGAAGGATACACCAATTGGAATAAAGAACAATTTACAAGGAAACAACAATAAAGTGCTTGAAGCCAAGAATCAAATCAATGATTTGAAACAGAAAGAAACAAAAAACAACCAATTAGAATAAGAAGGAAAAAGAATCCAAAAAAAAAAGGAGGACAGCATAAGCAGCCACTGGGATGACTTCAAGCATTCCAACATTCGCATCCTAGGGGTGCCAGTGGGAGAAGAGAAGAGCAAGTGAATGCAAATCTATTTGAAGAAATAATGAAAGAAAACTTAGGAAATAGACATGCAAGTCCAGGAAGCACAGAGAGTCCCAAACAAAATGGAGGCAAAAAGGCCCACTCCAAGACACATCATAATTAAAATGCCAAAGGTTAAAAATAAAGAGAAGCTCTTAAAAGCAGCAAGAGAAAAGCAGTTGGTTACCTACAAGGGAATTTCCATAAGACTGTCAGCTGATTTCTCAAAAGATACTTTGCAGGCTGGAAGGAATTGCCAAAAAATATTCAAAGTCATGAAAAGCAGGGATCTACAGTCCAGATTGCTCTATCCAGCAAAGCTATCACTTAAAATTGAAGGGCAGATAAAGAGCTTCCCAGAAAAGAAAAAAACTAAAGGAGTTCATCATCACCAAACCATTATTATATGAAATATTAAAGGGACTTATTTAAGAAAAAGATGATCAAAACTATGAACAATAAAATGGCAATAAATACATATCTATCAACAATGGAATCTAAAAAACAAACTAAGCAAACAAGAAGAACAGAGACAGAATCACGGATACGGAGAATGTTTTGATGGCTGCCAGATGGGAGGGGGTGCTGGGGAATGGATGAAGAGGTTACGATATTAAGAACTACAAATAGGTAGTTACAGAATAGCCAGGGGGATGTAAAGTACAGTACAGGAAACGTAGTAGACAAAGAACCTAAGCACAACCCATGGATATGAACAATGGTGTGAGGACTGCCTGAGGGAATGGGGGTGCTGGGTGGAGGAGGGCAAAGGGGAAAAATTCTGACAACTGTTATAGCATAATCAATAAAATATAATTTAAAAAAGGAAAGAGGGGATCCTAGAGATAAAAAGAGATTTAAAAAATATATCAACCACCCTGGCGAGAGCAGCTCAACTTATTAGAGCATCATCCATAAACTGAAAGGTTGCAGATTAGATTAATGATCAGGACACATGCCTAGGATGCAGGTTCAGCCCCCAGTCAGGGTGTGAATGAGAGGCAACGAATTGATGTTTCTCTCTCACATCAATGTATATTTCCCTCCCTTCCCCTCCCTCTAAAATCAATAAGCATGTCCTCGGGTAAGGACTAAAAAAAAAAACACCACCACATCAACCAGTGCTCCTTCCACAGCACATATACTAAAACTGGAACAATACAGAGAAGATAGCACGGCTCATGCACAAGGATGACATGCAAATTCGTGAAGTGTTCCGTATTTTTTCAGGGCACATGCAGGAGGCAACCAATCGATGTTTCTTGCATCGTTGGTTCTCTCCCTCTCTCTCTCCATCACATTCCCTCTCTCTAAAATTAGTGAGGGTGTCCTCAGGTGAGGATTAAACACACACACACACACACACACACACACACACAAATATATCAACCAAATGGTACACTGATCTTTATTTGGATCCTGATGCAAATGAACCAACTACACAAAATCAGGGGAAATGTGAATACTGATATTTTTTGGTGTGATATTAAAGAATTAATTTTTTAGATGCGATAATAAGATTATGTTTTTTAAAAAGTCATTACCTTTTAGAGATACACACCAGAATATTTACAAATAAAATACACGTGAGTGGCTGCAGTCATGGGAAGGCTTGTCTAGGGCTGGAGGATCTCCTTCCACAATGGCTTCCTCATAGGGTGGTTGTTAGCCAGTGACCTCAGTCCCTCTCCATGTGAACCTTCCCACTGGCTACTCAAGTGTCCTCCTCACAATATGGCTGGCTGCCTGCCCTCAGGATGAAGAGAGCACGGCAGCCGCAATGCCTTTTATGACCTAGCACCAGAAATCACACTCCATCACTGCTTCAATACTCCATCGGTCACAGGGGTCAGTCCTATTTAATGTGAGAGTTACACAGAGGCATGGGCACCAGCAGGTGAGGATCCCCAGGGCCATCTTGAAGGCTGGCTAGCACATCATGGAACTTAAGTTCCCTGATGTTCAAAACCCTTCATCATCTGACTCCCACTGAGTACCGCCATCATTTCATTTCACCCTTTCTGGGTCCAATAGGCTCCATCTTTACTGGCCTCCTGTTTCTCAAAGATGAGGGGTTTAAATTCAGTTCAGAGCTTTTCCCTCAACCTGGGTTATTTTCTCCACTCATCATCTTATCATTCAGATGTGACCATGAATGTCACCTCCTCAAGGAGGCCTTCCCTGGCCACCCAGTCTGAAGACATTATCTTCCCCCTTTCAAACCCAGAACTCAATTTAATTCTTTGTAGAAAACTTATTACTGATATTTTAGTGCATCTGGCTCAGTGTTAAACTTTTCAGCACAATTAATATCACACTCAATAAAACTTCAATATCCAAATGCATGACCCAGCCAAATACCCTGGCCTCTCAGCTCTGTAAAGCTCAGCTCCAAGGACCTTCTTCTTCACTCTGCTTCAACCACACCCTCCCACTGGCACACCAAACTCAATCCATACTGCGTCTTCCCCAAACTCAATCCATTGTTGGATCCTTCTAGTTCACTTGCTCAAGTGCTCCATGAAAACAACTTTTCAATTGCCTCGAGACCTTCAATCCCTTAACCCCATCTTCCTTCTCCTTTGTTTTTCTTTATCTAGCTTAGATTTCAAAGTTAAGAATTATAAACATTCTCCTGCAAAACCCCTCAACTCTCTTCCAAGGTCTCTTTCAAACTCTATAATCCCAGAATTCAAGAAACTGCTTTATCCATATCAAATATACTGATGAAAAGGCATTCAACTAGGCAGGTTATGTTCAGCATAGATTCAAGATCACTAAATGAGCACTCAATCTCAACTGGCAATCATACTGTATTTTACTTATAAACTAGCTTTCTAATTCCTCCCCTAAGAAGGCTCCTTCTTACCCATCTTCCCCTCCTGTACAACTCTGTCGTGCCTTTTAGCTAATGTCCTTGACTCATGGAGAACCAAAAAGCCTAAACCTAAAAATCTGTCATCTTCCTGTGACCAATTATATAAACCTTTCTGAATCTTCACCCATGTTCTCTTGTTTCAATGGAAATGACCCCCCTCCTTTTGAAGAACAATTTTTCCCCTTACACTCCTGATCCCAGTCCTTCTTCCCTACTCATAAACTCCAATCTTGTAATTATCCCTCTTTTCCCTTCCATCAAACATCATCCACTCTTTCCCGGATCATTCCCATCTGCGTATGTTTAAGCTCTAGTATGTCCTCTCTTGAAAACAGAAATTCTTCTTTGACCCCATACCCTCTTTTAGGTACTACTCCATTTTTCTACTCTCTTCATAGCCAAACTTTGTTAAAATGGTAAGGAAAAAAAAATCCTATTTGCACTTTCTCACCTTCCATGCATGCTCTGTTTGAATCCATTCCAATATGATTTATGTGTCTTATCACCAGCAATATCCATCTTGTCAATCTAAAACTAGTCTATGCCCTCATCTTACTGGGCCTCTCAGCAGCACTAAATTGTGTTAATCATTCCCTCCTTCTGGAAATAATCTCTTGATTTCATTCAAATAACGGTTAGACTTGGGCACTTTTCTGGGCCTTGGCTAGGATACAGGCCTCTGTGGCATGTCAATCTCCTGGTTTTCTTTCTGTGATGCTGACTCCTTCTTTCTCATTGTCATCCTGCTGACCTGATCTATCCTGTAAATGTTAAGTAATTCAGAACTTAATGCCAAGCCCCCTCTTCTTTACCATCTCTTAAATCACATCATTAATTCCCACGGTTTTAATTATTACCCTTATAGTGAAACTTTCAAATTTATATATGTAGCCAGAAACTTTCCTTAAAACTAGTTCCATTACATTCAATAACTTATTTGACATTTCCACTTGGACATCTCAAACTTCATATAATCAAATTTTAACTCTTGACCTTCCTCCCAAAACATTCCTGAGTCATTAAGTTTCACTAAATAATATAATATATAGCTCTCAAGTCATTAATCTCCATTCCTCTCTCTCTCCTCTTCCACTTATCTATTAGCAAGTCCCACTGAGTCTGCCCCCCAAATATATCTCAAATGTATTCATCTTTCTCCATTTGTTTTGCTATTATCATTCTTGCCTAAACTACTGCAATAGCTTCCTAATTGGCATTTCTGCTCCCATCCTTGTCTCCCTTTGATACACACCTTTTAAAAAATTGTAAATTAGATCATCTTGTTCCCTGGTTATAGGTCTTCAACAGCTTCACAATGTAACAGGAATAAAATCTAAACTCAAGATCTTAAGTGATGATATGGACTCTGCTTTTCTGCTTTCTAACATCATCTCTCTCCATTCTTCCTCACTATAATACAGCCACATCGACCTTTCAGTTTCTTGACTATGGTAAAACTTGCTCTCCTGTGGCTTGGCACTTGCTAGTCCCTCCATCAGGAACACCCTCACCTCCGACTGGTTCCTTCGCAATCGAGTCTCAGCTTAAGTATATACTCCCCAGACCATGTGATCTATGACGGTCCTTCTTGAGAGTTTCTAACATAGCCTTTATGCATTTTCTTCATAGCACACATTTTACAATTACTTATATATTTATCTAAAAACTTATTTTGAAAATTTACAGACATAAACAAAAGTAGAGCAAGCAGTATAACGAGACCACATATTTTAGTATTTTTCTTTTGTATTTTTACTACTTCCCCTGCTAGACTGGAAGTTCCAATGGAAAGAGACTGCAGCTTTTTCTCTTTTTCACCCAGGGCCTTGCAGAGTACCTGGCTCAAGATAAACACCCAACAAATTTTTTGTTTTCAATGAGAAGGAAAGTTAAAGATTACTCTAAAGTTGACAGTACAACTAAGAAAAGTGAAACAAGGAGGGAAGAGTTTTGAGGACAGTTGGTAATTTATTCATCAGTCTACTCTCTGCCAAGCTCTGTGCTAAGTATTGGGTTTCAGAGATAAATAAGAGAAAGTCCTATACACAGTCTAGTGGAGAGAGATATAATAAGTAGCAGTATTTATTTAGGGCTACCTATGTTCTGGATATAGGGCAAAGCATTTCAGAGGCACTATCACAGTCCTACAGCAACCCTACAAGGAACTATTATAATCCCCATTTTTCACCCAAGGAAACTGAAGCTTATAAAGGTTAAATAACTGGTAGCAGGTTCCAACGCTAGAAAGTGGTAAAACCAGGTATAAAACTGAGGCTATTTAATGCTAAAGCTAAGCCAGTAAATAGCACGATACTTACAGATGTGTACTATCCTACAGAGCACTACTGAAAACATTACAACAGAAGCATGCACACAGCATGCTGGAAATAAGCAGAAACTCTGAAGAGGAGAAAGGCAAAAGGGCTCTTCCTGCGGTGATCCCTGAGCAGTCTGAAATTTTAAGCAGGAAAGTGCTAGGTGATGTAGTCTGAGGAAATAATATGTGCAAACAACTATGTAGGCACTTGAAAGGCACTTGGAGGAGAACTGTGTACCTAGAATACTTCGAAGAATTCCTCTGTTTTATTTTTAAAAACTGAGTGCAATGAATAACACTGTGCTAGGAACTTTGGATATGAGACAAAAGATGAAACACTGTGAGGACGTTATGCCTGAAGCACTACAAAGGCATTGAAGGTACAAAGGAAAAAGGCTTTTTATTTTTTTCCAGCCTAGTGGGGATTCTGGGAAAGCTTCACAGAAGAGATAAACCTCTGCTGGATCTTGAAGGACAAATTAACCATATTTGAAGAAGAAGGCAGGCAACGAGAATGACTTGCACAAAAGCATGGATATGACCAGATTTTGAGGGAGCAGATTTTGGGTGAGTGGCAAGAGGTGAAGCTGGCAGCAAGGGTACAGATGCGATCTTCAATGTCATTGTTTATTATTATAAGATTACATAACTGTCTAACAAAAATGCTCCAAAGCCACAGTTATTAAAATAGCATGGTCCTCACAAAGGAATACATAACTGAGCAAAACCTAGAAACAGACCTATATATATGTACATTGGAATTTGGTATACAATAAAGGTGGCATTCAGGTCAGTGGAGAAAGGATAAATCATTTAATAAATGCCATGGGGACAACTTGTTATCCATTTGAAAAAAAATTGTTAGACACCCTTCCTTCATATTATGTATGAAAATAAACTTCATTTTGATCTGGGATTAAATATAAATAAAACCATAAATTGTTTTTTAAAATAAAATAATATTTTATGAAATAGAATATAAGTTCCACAGGAATTTCCCCATTAAAACAGACAACTTCAAAGAAATTTTG